ATTAGGAAATCTTTGGAGAGAAATTAGAACTTTTTTTTTAATTATTAAGATATACGAAGATAAATGTAGAGCAAATTTTTTTGGAGTTTTCTGGCTCTGCACCAAATTCCATGACTGTTATGCAGAAAATGTCTAGTGAACATCGGACAGAACTATACGATAGTTAATAAGAATCCTAAATTTAAAAGTAAATCTGAGGAAATCATTGACACATTTGAAATGATGCAATTATCTCATTCAATGATGCTTCAAAGAAATAAATTAGTAATTTCAAAAATTCCGCACACAGAAATTCAAGATCCAGGATTTACTTAAAATCGGAAAAATCCTTGCTTGACGTACATTCGATATCGTAGAAATGGGTAAATTTTCTTAATTCTGTGACGTGAAAAGTTTTCAACGTTAGAAAATAATACAAATACAGTTGGAGATGCTTAATAGTTCCGTTATAGCACAACTGTGTGAAAATTGTACATAGAAAGTAGAAAGCGAGCAAAGGACAATTTTGAGGAAGATAAGAATCAGATCGAGCATTCCCTTTACCAAACTCATCCGTTGATGAGGGGTGGCAAGGGGTTTGTGTCCCCCGACATTACTATTTGTTTTCGACTCCTGGTTAATCCTCGATTCTCCCAGTTTTCCCGGTTCAGGTTATTGTCATAGATTCGGCCTTGTCTTCACCAAGTCTCCGAAACATCTAAACTACAATAAATGCAGAATTCTGTTCAAGTTTTGAAGTGTAGCATTTGAAGTTCCTTTGATTTCCCTGAAATTTCTAGAATGTATGGTAAACCATCCAAACATGTCAGACAGCTCCAAATCATCAAAAGTTGTATACGCACTTGTTTTGACCTCTTGAAACTTGTCCGACGTTTGTTTCAATATATTGTGGAGCTGCAGAATATAGATGAAAATTCATCCGAATGTATTTAAATGCTGAAGTGGATCCTTAGAATCGATCAAAATCACTTGCACCCCTGCTTCCAAGTTTGGTTAGAAGATTACAACTCTGGAGAGCATTTTGTGTGGTCGTTGGGGGGCGTGTGGTTCTGAATATGGCGATGAGTGTGCAAAATGTTACGCAATTGCATCCTCCCTATTCACACACGCCCGATGATCGGAGGCGAATGCCACTTCGACTTGTTTCGTCTACTAACGACTCTCTGCTGACAGTGTTGGGGAAGCAGCAATTTTTAAGTTATTTCGACGCTCTTGGATAATGCTTGACATTTACCACTTTTCAATAGTTTCTTGTTGAAAATACAGTCAGAAACATTGCTGTCGATGCATAGAAATATTTCTGATCGATTGATGATAAAATTATTGAAATTGGTCCAGCGGCAGCTTAGGTAGTAAAGTTCAAAATCTTTCATAATTTCGTAACATGTTCCATTTTCAGTTTTCACAAAGTGTACCCCCATATAGAAATTACAGACGTAGTCCTACGTAAAAAAATCGTTCATATAACCATAAACTCTACCTGTGGGCAAAATTTAATAAAATTACGAGACCTTTCGGCCCAAACCTGTCCGAAAATATAAAAAAAATCCCTTCCTTCAGGGAACTTAAATCGAAAAAAAGAAGATCTTTCTTCAGAAAAAAAGAATTAAAGAAGTTAGTTAAGACAATATTTGGAAAGCTTTAGCAGAGATATTCGAGTGAAAAACAGTACGCTATTAAGACAAAACCGAAAATTCGATGTTTTGTGGTTTTTTGAGTCCAACTGTATGCCATGGTGATTTAAAAAAATATTTTTGCATGTGAATTTTCTTTGAAAAATTAGAAAAAAAAAATGATTTTTAAAGATTTTTTATATCTTTTCCAATACTTTTCGAAAAATCAAAACGTTATTATATTTTCCTGAGTGATAAATAATCCCTTAACGGAAAGCTTACCGCCCCGAAGAAAAAACATTTATATTTTTCTAAAAATATTGGTTAAAGACATCGAAATTCTGAAAACCTAATTTTTTTCCTATTCTGCCAAAGGAAAAATTTCATGTTAAACCAAGTCATCATGGCAAACGATTTGACTCTTAAAACCACAACAATCGGCCTTTCGGTTTTGTTTAGAGTGCCACTTTTTTTCATGATGAGATGGATAACATCAGAACATGCCATAAATTTTCGTTTTTAAGTGGTAGGCTGCCACGGAAACATTTTTTTTTAATTTTAATTGTAATTTATCCAAAAATAGGTATTAGTTCGGAAAAGTTTAGGAACCTTTAGAGAAGTTTAGGAAGAGCTAGCGTGAAGTTCAGAAATTTTCAGAGGTTTGTAGGACGAAAGGTCGCAGGACAAAAGATCGAATTACAACAAGTCCAATGGACAAATGGTCGAATGGACAAGAGGTCGAATGGAGTAAGTAAATCAAGCTTAGACTTTGAGTGACCTAAGTGAAACTCTATTTTTTCATAATATTTATTTGGTAGGCTTAATGTCTTTTGGAGCAAAACGGTGCCGAGGAACTAATATTTTTTGTTCAATACAATTATTTCCTTCTTGATTTTTTTTTCACCAATCTATTTTTCTGCTCTATCAATCTCCTTATCTTCTTCATCGCTTCGTTTGCCAGACCTGCCCAATGTGCTGCCGTCAGTTTGAGTTCCGGTCTCAGGGGTCGCCAAGTCCATTTTTACCACATCCTGTAAGCTTTACCATAAAACCGAGATGAACTAGCTAAAAAGCCTTAAAAAAAATTCCTTTGAAACGAGCACTTCATTGACAGATACGTTAAAACTATTGAACAATCCTGCTGAAGCTGCTCGAAAGTTATTGTTAAATCTTTATAACATGATCAGTTATTTGACAGATTATACCAACTAGACACTCCAGCTTGAACCGCTCGAAAGTTCTTTCATCCTTTTGTCCAATCCAAAATTTGTCCATTTTTCCCTTTAAATTCCATTTGTCCATTTTAAATTTTTGTCCATTCAATCGTTTCCCCTTCGACCTTGTGTCGATTGATCTTTTGTCCTTTGACATTTTTTTCATTGAATCCTTCATAGAGAAAACTTCAGAGAGAAGTTCAGGAAGCTTCAGAGAGAAGTTCAGGAAATTTCAGAGAGGAGTTCAGGTAGCTTCAGCGAAAAGTTCAGGATTTTTCAGGGAGAAGTTCAGGAAACTGTAGAGAGAAGTTCAGGAAACTTCATAGATAAGTTCAGGAAACTTCAGAGAGAAATTCAGGAAACTTCAGACAGAAGTTCAGGAAACATCAGAAAGAAGTTCAGGAAATTTCAGAGAGAAGTTCAGAAAACATCAGAGAGCAGTTCAGGAAACTTCATAGAGAAGTTCAAGAAATCTCAGAGAGGAGTTCATGAAACTTCATAGATAAGTTCAGAAAACTTCAGAGAGAAGTTCAGGAAACATCAGAAAGGAGTTCACGAAACTTCAGAGAGAAGTTCAGGAAACTTCAGAGAGAAGTTCAGGAAATATCAGAGAGGAGGTGAGGAAACTTCAGAGAGAAGTTCAAGCAACTTCATAAATAAGTTCAGGAAACTTCATAGAGAAGATCGGGAAACTTCAGAGAGAAGCTCAGGAAACTTCAGAGAGAAGTTCAGGAAACATCAGAGAGAAGTTCAGGAAACTTTAGAGATAAGTTCAAGAAATCTCAAAGACGAGTTCAGGAAACTTCATAGATAAGTTCAGGAAACTTCAGAGAGAAATTCAGGAAACTTCAGACAGAAGTTCAGGAAACATCAGAAAGAAGTTCAGGAAATTTCAGAGAGAAGTTCAGAAAACATCAGAGAGCAGTTCAGGAAACTTCATAGAGAAGTTCAAGAAATCTCAGAGAGGAGTTCATGAAACTTCATAGATAAGTTCAGAAAACTTCAGAGAGAAGTTCAGGAAATGTCAGAGAGAAGTTCACGAAAGTTCAGAGAGAAGTTCAGAAAATTTCAGAGAGGAGTTCAGAAAGCTTTAGAAAAGAGTTCAGGAAACTTCAGAAAGTAGTTCACGAAACTTCAGAGAGAAGTTCAGGAAACTTCATAGAGGAGTCCAGGAAGCTTCAGCGAAAAGTTCAGGATTTTTCAAAGAGAAGTTCACGAAACTTCAGAGAGAAGTTCAGGAAACTTCAGAAATAAGTTCAGGAAACTTTAGAAAGGAGTCCAGGAAATTTCAGAGAGGACTCCAGGAAACTTCAAAGAGAAGTTCAGGAAAGTTGACTCGACACACATAAGTAAATAATTCCGTTGCACACCAGAAAGTATGGCTTGCTAAGTACTGCTGTCAGCAGTGATGGAAGTTTTTCGGGTCACGTTCGGGTGTAAAGTAAAAATCTTGAACCCAATCTCACCCCAGGTTGGTAAGATTTGCAGCTGGTGAGTTTTGTTAGCTTGTTGATTTTTGTCATTGGATGGATTTAAGTTTTTGATATTTTGCAACACTGATGTAAAATATTGAACACGTTCCTCAGCCTGCAAATGTTTAAAGTAGCGGTCAAGGCATGTGAAAACATTTCGTCGATCTCGTTGAAGAATTTTTTTCTTAATAGAACCTGGCATCCCTGACCATAAACGTGATGCCAAATGATCAATTCCAATATTCCACCGCACGTGTGTTAATTACAATCATCACTTAGGGAAATCCAACGCATCCGGAATCTTCGCAGGTTCCGATTCCGGTTCCCTTCCCTCAACTTGTAAAACCCTGAGCCGATGATTATTCCATCCAATTAACTTCCCTCCAATCCCAAAGCCCCGCCCGACCGCGGCAACCGCGATGGCGGTGACGGTTCGCTCTTTGATTGGAATCCAAACCTGTCCCAATCAGGAACTAGAGCTATCGGAGCACATATTCCCAATCATATTTCCCCACCACGAACACGATTCGGGACGTTCACCGGGATTTCTGCCGACGAAATACGCGCTCGGACGGCTTTGAGCGCGTGAGATATTAATTTCAGATAAACCGCTCCGCCGGTTGCGGCGCGGCAGTGAAGTGAATTAAAATTGAGCGAAATCGATTATCTGTAATCCGCCCGGACGCCCGGACAATACTTGCCTGGCTGGCTGACTTCTCCGGCAAACGCGGTGGCTTCTCCGGAAGCGTCGTCGGCGTCGTCAACTGTCCGCACAGGAGGAGATTGTCGATTCCCGTCCCCGTACTGCGATGCGTGGGTGGGTGGGTCCGGTTGGTTAGTTGGTCGCTCGATTGGCGTGGGTGGTTTAATTAAAAGTGAAACGGATAAGAAGCGGAAAAACTATCGCAGCGGCCCGACTCACGCCCGCACCAACTTCAATTATTAATGCACCGACTTTAATTTCATACACATGTACACAGCGGTGGATGCGGAGGGGGGGGTCTACCTAGACAGGTTTTTCGTTTGAACCCGGTGGCATGGTTCGCTGCTTCAATTAACTTTGGCGTAAATGTTCCTAAACCGCAGCCCGTCGTCGCCGTCAGTTGGTAAGTAACGGATAAGTTCAGCAAACGGAGGGCGGTAGGCTGTTTTCATCCACGAGAAATTGAACATTGACTTTGTTCTTCATCCGACATAACCTACAAACCGCACCGCAGTGATCACTCCCGGGAAATGTCAAACAGCTTCAAACGAATCGGAACATCCCTACTGGCATTCGTCCACCTTCCCACAGTTGTTAATATTTCAGTTCCTTTCCACTTCCAGGGAAAAACCCTCACCACTTGCACGCACTTGCACTAATTTCCGATGCACCACCGGCAGTGCTGATGATGGCCTCTGGTGGCCCCCTCGTCGGACAAACTGGGGCAGATATACTTCTATTAATTTTTAAACACTTTTACGCAGGAAAAACTGACCGCGCGCGTACGTACGGATCGATTCCCGATCGATGACTATCGGAGATGTCAACGTTTTTTTGTTTTGATTGTCGCGAATGTCGTGCATGTGTTTGTGTGTGTATGTGGGTTTCGCTTTCGTTCGATTGCAGCGCGCCAATTTGACTGTGTAACGAAAGTAAATGCGGCGTACAAAAGAAAGGGATCGTTGCCAGAAGGGTGTTGATGACCCGCGGGTGTTCCCGCGCAGCAGCAACAGCGGTTCGTTCAAAGGTTTTGCCTATAGCTCGGATGGCCAAATTTAGAGACGCGTCCTGAGTGTGAACTGAACTACGTAAGTGCCGCCTCCCCTTCCCGAACCGTTTTCTGTTTGGGTGCGCGTAGTTTAACCTTGAAATAGATGCATTCAAGTTCAGTTCAATTGTATAACTGTACTACTTAAGGACGTAAAGAGTTGATGAACTGACGGCAAATTTAAACTAGAATCATACGTTGAATGTGTGTACGAGCTTCAGTATGACGAATGTTCTTCTATTGCCACTTTTCATGCAATGATTTGCTAGGCAAACATATCGTCGGAAGCTATTATTGTTTGTGTTATTTTGAAGTGCATCAATAACCAATTTAAGGAAATAATTTCTCTCAGTGTCAATGACGGATATTACCTTTTCTAATAGTAGCATGCGAAGAGGAAGTGAATTATTGATCTTCTATTCGGGGCTTCGTGATCCATACCTGAAAACAATAAGAAGAAAGGGCGGTTAGTAATTTGCACTTGATTTTTACCGTGCTTAGTCAACACTGGATGTGGTCAGGTCATTTGATCAACTTGAATCAATCGAGATTTTTATACAGTATTTATTTGCACACTAGCACCACCATGTGAGACAACTTTGAACTATAATGGAACGTTCTGGACTGGAACGTTCTACTCGGTCAGGATCAGAAGGCATCACACAATCTAATAACGCTCTGGGATTACATCCAATTGAGATGACGTCTTCAGCAAAGTTCCTTGACATAATTAGTTAGTTAGTTTGAGTTTGGTGGATAAAAATAGTTTTACAACTACGACGACGACAACAGCGAGTTTGTAACTTACCATTTGTCTAGAATATAACACTTTTACCCGCCACCTCCACATGAGCTTCATGTCAGCTATCTGTCACTGTTTGTAAGAATATCTAATAGCAATTACGTTTGTTGTAATACTTCCTTCAACGAAAACAAATTTTCTTGCATTGCCATGGTCATTTGGGAGGAGGTTCGCGTCCAGTGCTTTCCCCAAGAACCGTTCACGACCACCAGCTACCGCCCGCCGGGTAAAGCAGGTGCATAAGAACGCCTATCAATGGTTGTTGGGTTCTGCCCTGACCGGCGATTTGCGACCTCTGTGCACCTGAACTCCGATTCTTACCTCCACGCGGTGCCCGGTTATAGCCAACTCTAAGTAGCCCGTGATTATCGCTACCTGGGGATGCTTATCGGCTGGGTGCTGGTTGCGACTTGGCCGTCCTGAATGAACTTTTTCCACCTCTTCAAGGTGGTTCGTTTAAAAGGACGTTAATAAATGGAAGCATCAGCTACCGCCCGTCCAGTCTTGGGCGTATCCAGCGAGGCATCCTTCAGTTTGCTCACAATCTCCGACACTGGCGAGAGACCAGCAGACGAGCACTTTTGCAAGCCGTAAATTTGCTGATTCACGGCAACGTCGGCCACCGAATCACCACACATTATCAGCACTTTCCCCGGCTAATTTGCCAACCGGACCGTGTTCAAACTCGCACACGGTGAACCGGCCTCCCGGGAGGCAATGAAAATCACAAGCATACTTACACACCGCTGGTTACAAAAAAACACCGTGAAAAGAAACGGACCTAATAAACGTCACTCTCGCGAAAACAAACAGATGTTCCAGGTAATTTTAAGAGGTGTTTCAAGAAAATTGTAAGCGGCGCCGGTGGTGTAGTGGCAAGCGTGATTACCTCTCACCCCAGCAGGCCTGGGTTCAATCCCAGTTGGCGTCGCCGGGATGTTCTGAGGCATAACATCTCTGATCACGCCTTCCTTCGGATGGGAAGTAAAGCCGTTGGTCCCCGGTTCATGAGTTTATGGGTCGATAGGTAGGGTCCAGGTGTGGGAGCTGCCTCCCTGGCGTCGGTAGCATTGGTGTTCCACACGGAAAACAAGATCGACGGAAAACAAATCAAGGAAAAAATAATTGTAAAGAGAACTAAATTCTAAAATCCAAGGTAGTGCTGAATCCAAAGAATTCTAATGCAAATGAGGAGGAGTTTCAGCAGCCTAATGGAGTTAGGAGGAGAATTCAAAGTGAATTAAACCTACGAAAAACTAAATGAGGATATGAATACAATCTTGACAACAAGTCTTAAATGATCACCTAAGGCTGAAAATAGTTCAAATGTTAAACAATCAATAGAAGAATTCTGAGGAGAGCTCTAAGATCGATAATTTTATTCTAAAAATAGCTATGTAGAATTGCAGAACTTCAACCTAGTTTCAAGGTAATTTCTAAGAGAATTCATAAAATTTTAAAGATATTTTCAGAGAGGGTTTCAAATAGTTGAATTCACAGGGAACTTCGAACATATTTCCAAAGATAGTCGGAGTAGCTTACCAGGATATTCTGAAGAAATTTACAAGTGAATTCTAAGAAAATTCCGAGAGATTCTCTTAAGGGAATTTTGAGAGCATTGTAAGCATTGCATTTCTGAAGTAAATTCCCAGGACGTTCGGGGAGAATACTTTCTAAATTCAAAAGGGCAAACCAAGAGTTTTATGAAAAAATATTTCAAAAGAATTTTAAAGATGCACGGCGAATGAGAACGACCCAAATTTGAGTTTAGTTCACTCATAATCGCAAAAAGTGCAGGAACTCAGCGATGAGTAAAATTTGTCTCATGGTTTCCTGTGGAAAACCTAAAAAATCTGCCGGAAAATGAGGAAATGGACGAAAATTTTATTCAGTCTCGGAGTAGTACCAATAGACTGAGTGAATCCAATCTTTACTTTTCTCAAATTCGGGAATTTTTCCCTGGAAAATCCTGGAAAAACCTAGGAAAACATGAGGCAAATTACCTCATCGCTGAGTTCCTGCACTTTTGGCGATTATGAGTGAACTAAACTCAAATTTGGGTCGTTCTCATTCGCCGTGTAATTATGGAGAGAAATTGGAGCAAAGTCTGACTAAAAGTAAATTGGTACGCCCCTCGCGCGCCGCTAGCACGCCTCTAGTGTTTTGAATCGAAAATCTTTGACAGTGGTTTGTTTACACTTCTATAGAGAACAACGGGTGCAAGTTTGATCAAAGTAGTCGATCGCGTTCAGAAATAACGTCAAATGGAACTCGAAAGAAGAAAAAATATTGAAAATTCGGCTTGGTTCGGTTCCAAGATGGCTAAAGTGCTGAAGATGCCGAAAACAACAGTTTGTAGAGTGCTCAAAACCTACAAGGAAACCCTGAGTGTGGAAAGCAATCAGTGGACCTACGAAAAACTGGAACCATGGATCGTCAGCTGCGCAACAAGGTGTTGAGCTGCGTTAAAGCCAACCTCGGTCTTTCGATCCAAGATGAGGCCAGAAGGTACAACGTCAACTTTCAAACGGTGCGGAACATCCTTGCCAGGGAAGGATACAAGTCGTACTAAGCCAGTAAACATCCGGACCGGTACATGAAGCAGAATTCCGTGGCCAAAAAGCGTGCAAGGCTATTGTACGACCGCTTCACTATTATCGATGACGAAACATACGTCAAACTCGATTTTAAGCAGCTTCCTAGTCAACAGTTTTCCATCGCGACTGGCCGTGGAGATGTGCCGGGAAGATTCAAGTTCATGTTTGCCGACAAGTTCGCGAAGAAGGCCATGATTTGGCAAGTGATTTGCAGTTGTGGATTGAAAACGGAACCATCTGTCACATCCTCGACGATGACATCCCAAGTTTACATCCTAGAATGCTTGATAAAGCGTGTATTGCCGTTCATCCGCTAGCATAGGGGCAAAGTCATCTTTTGGCTCGATTTGGCCAGCTGCCGCTACTCCAAGGTGGTTCTGGAGTGGTATGCTGTCAACAAGATCGATTTTGTCTCCAAGCTAATGAATCCTCCGAATTACTCGGAATTTCGAGCACTCGAAAAATACTGGGCAATTTCAAAGCAGGGACTTCGACGAAGCGGTGGGGCAGTCGAGGACATCTAGCAAATGCGGGAAAAATGGATGAAATGCGCTGATTCCGTGTCCGTTTCCACTGTGCAGGCGCTGATGGGCTCCATCAAGAGGAGGGTTCGAGATTTTATTCTAACTGGAGAAATGTAACCATCTTATGCTGTAACTTTGAAGTTTTAATAAAAGTGAATTTCAAGAGTTCGCTGGAGGAAATTCCTAAAGTGTTCTGCACAGAACTCGGAAGATGTTATGGAGACTTTTTCTTAGGAATACCGGAGTATTTTAGAATGATCCTAAGGAAACTGAGATAGAGGGAAAGTCATATGCGAATAGCCGTTCAAGGTTCTCAAATTAGCAAACATATTCAAAATGCCGGACATTGGGCATCTTAAATCTTTCGAAATTGCAAATTTAACAAAATGACTCGTATCTGAGGCGTAGACATTGCTTGGGATCCTCACTGGTATCATTTTGGATAGTTGTCATGATCATGAAATTAACTAATTGGACGTTGCTGATATTTTGAGATCTTAATAAGATTTAAACTTTAGTATCACTTTGTTTGGAATCTTGAGCTGGACAAAATTTTCAGAATTTTTAAAAAAGTATTGGAGCTGTTGGACTTATAATTTTAATTAATAGATTATTACAGATTTAAAAAATGGTGGTGCGACACATCTAAATCTCAATTTAAGATGGCCGAAAAATCTCACACTGGCAAATAAATCTACGGAAAATCCTATTTCATCTTTTGCTCTAATTCCATCTACTTGCATCACTCTTCACCTTTTTGCAGGAAATCTTCAAAATCTTCATCAATCTTCTTTCTATCTAACAACAGTAAAGCAGTTTTTCTCGGATGCTTAAGATTCCCGGTTTAGTCCCGGTTCAGTGGCTATCCGGTGTTTGTTTTAATGTTCATAGTTTGTTTTATTTGTCTAGGCTCATTCGCAGTAGCTTCACGGAGCCGGAATTATTTTCTTCAAACAAAATTACCTAAATCTAAATTTTGTAGAGTGAAGAGCGTGATTAGGGGTAACAATTGATAAACAGGAGAATGGATGGTTATGGACTAAGAACACAACGTTTGGAGATGCACTTTGGAAGTGTTTGGACAAGTGCTGAGGATCTCTAATAAAGCGAACAGACGACTGACGACAACACTGTAAAGCAACGCAAAAGACGAACTATGGTGGAACACCGATGGGGAGCTGACGCTTCAGTTTGGAGGAACACAAGACATGATACTACTAAATCCTCAAATCAATCCGCTTCAGAAACACGTCCGTAAAAGTTATCTATACGAGATCCAATCTACTCACCGGATGGCGGAAGAGTTTTATGAGAGAAGTTTGTCCTGATGTTGAGCTCTCAGTTTTGAATCTTGCTTGCTTCGTTGCATTAGTTCCCGCCCACAGAGGCCCGCAAGATTTACCCTCCTTCTTGGTTTGGACTATTTTCGGCAACACGATAGATAGGTGGCGTTGCTAGCAATTAGCAACAAGATGCCCCGCCACACAGGCCAAAACAACAACGGACTCAATTTTTGGC